GCTTATATAGCACCACAAACAAAGTACATAGGAACGTACGTCATTTGTCAATTGATCAATTTTCTGTGACCTCGCCATTATCTATATGTGACCAAGATCTCAATGTGTGACCTGAATGTTGACATCTCAATTGATTGTTGCATGTGGCCTGATTGTTGACATTATTTATTTATACATCTGTGACCGTACGCATTATGAACAACGATGCCTACATTTGACTAATATGTCAAATGTGACTGTGGCTTACATGGTTTGTGGCTTGAATGCACAACAAAAATGTATGCCAGTAATTGTTTTGTATCATGATTTGAATATAGAACATGATACTCATGGCATGTGACCTACGTGACTTGAATGCACAATAATTGGCTTTATTGTGTAACAATGCATACCTACGTGACCTCATTCAGTTGAATATAGAACATGATACTCGTGGCATGTGAACATGATAATCGTCTGTGACTAAGTTCTGTTGTAGCATTACACATGCCTGTGACCATATTATTTCTGGTTATACAACAATGTTAATCTATCTGTAGCCAGAGTACACAGTTGCATACATCTAATTGTGTGTGATTTCCCTACATTTATGGAACATTGGGTCTTTCTAAACAATTTTGTGCAGGATTGGCAATATATCATACCGAAGGAACGATGGTTCCCAGGCAAGATTACAACATCAGTCAGCAAGGATGTACTTTCAAGTATCCAATCAAAATTATCTGACCGACAGAAGCTCATTATGAAGGAAACATGCTTTGCCCATTTTCTCGACTGCCATGAAATTGTGGTACAACCATAATTAATTCACTACTTCCTCTTGCGGCAGGTCCAACAACCTAATCCTACAGAGTTGTGGTTTTTAGTTGCTGGGCGTTATGTTAGATTCTCTATATCTGAGTTTTGCATAGTCACGGGGCTGAGATGTTCTGGCGATAGTGACACGGGCATTTTTGAAAGTAGACAGTCACAACTGAAGAATAAGTACTTTTCCCAAGTCGATATCGTGACACATGAAGATGTGAAGTCCACATTCATATCTGCTTGCCAAATGCCTGATCTGGATCTTGTTGAAACTCTCCTGGATCATGATGTGGCACTCATTGGTATCCTGTACTTCATTACTGCATACTTATTTCCTAGAGATTATAAGAAAGTGGTTGACCATGGGGAAAGTTACTGTTTGAGATTACTTTGAGTTCTTTAAAAGATGCATTGAGTCGACAAATCGCACATTATAGGCTACGAGGTATGTTGTTAGCCTTTCAAGCATGGATCTACGAAACCTTCCCTGACCTAGATGAAGTTATTGTCACAAGGGTATCGAGGACGCACCCTCGAATCAAGAACTGGAATGCAAACGAGCAACCTTCTGCATCTAAGTTGGAGGAGCTGGGCTGCTTCAACAAGCCTAATGTAATGTTTTAGTAATCCATATTCTGCTGATAGTGGAACATATGGTAAATTTATTGGTTCTCTAATCTTTTACTATAATGCAATGCAGATTGAAATATGTGACCTGAACCCTACTGAAGCTGAAATGGCAATGCCATACATGGATGGCATGCAGCATAACAAAACAATTCAACCAGAGTCTTCTCAGAGCAGCCGTCGAAAGGAAAGCAGGAAGGGAAAGTCTGTTGATCCTTCACACATGAGTGAGAAATCAGTGCATTTGGTAACAGACACTGGTGTTAGAAAGGCTCACATTACAAATGATGATGACGATTTTGTGGATCCTCCACGACGATGTGAGACGCTATCCCATCAAGAAACACCCCGTGCTGATGAAGGCCCTTCAGGTCCCCAATTTTCTCCAAATGAAGAACAACATCATGGGATCCAAGGGAGTGCTGTAAGATTATTTTTATTTCTGCTCAATTGTTTTCAAATTGCGGTCACAGTTCACATAGTACTAGTCACAGTTCACTTAGTACTGGTCACAGTTCAATTCTCATGGTCATAGACATCTTTTATAAGATCACATTTAACTATTTATCTTAATCATGTTTACAGGTGCTTCACGATTTGAATGCGCAACTTTCAGAACTTAAGTCACAGAATAAAGTATTAACCGTGGAGATGGACGCCATCAAGTCACAGATGTCGAGCCTCAACTCTGATCAGGCAAAAAAGATGTCTGAAATCATCCTAATACAAGGACAGTTAAAACATGACATGATCGAGATTAGGACGAACATGCAATTCCTGTCTGAATCCGTGACTGCAATGATCTCAAGCTCCATGGATGAGATATTAAGGCGATTCAATGATAGGAAAGGTTGTCCAGTTAATGAGTATGAAGACACGGAAGCTGCTGTCGAAGGATTCGAGAAGATCGACGAGGTAGGTACATGATATGTTCAATCTATCTATCACTGAACATAGTTATAGATTTTATGTCTGAAATTCTCCAATTTCACATACAGGTGGAAAAACTGCAACCTGTTGTCGACAGGAAAGGGAAGGGGAAGGTCGACCCAACTGAAGATGTTGCCTTTCCAAGTAGTCGTGAACCGCCATCATTTGACCTGGGTATCGAATACACACAACCGGATGATTTGGAGTCTTCAGAAATTCAAAAGCAGGTAGATGCTGCCATATCTGATGTGATCACAGCATCCCAAAATGTTGACGAAGAGGTAGTCAAATTATTATTTTTTAGTGTAATATGCTAGTCACACAATGTGTACATCGAATTTATGTAAACTAAATGTGACCTTTACAAGTCACAGGGATCACCAACTACAGAACCGACATCTGCATTACCAGTTAAGCGGGCTTCAAGGTCTGCGAGGATACTGCGGTCCCCATTTGTTGTCAGGGAAGGAAAGGTACTACGGCATGACGGTAATGTTATTGTATTTGGAAATTATAAAGACCATGTTGATGAAGCTGATAAATCAGCATTCTTGGGTTGGTTTCAGAGAGGGTACAAACCCAAAAACAGGCATGTACATGTTTCTTATATTTTCAAATACACTGGTCACACAGTTACAGTATCTTGACAGTCAACTTTTGGCAACAGGGAAAAGTTTAATGAGCAAGATGACCAAATCAAACCAGCCTTTAGTATTGGCTTATACCCTGTCGGTCACAAGACATGGTTCCATCAGCTGATAAATGCAGAAACGTCTTTAAGCGGCTCGGTATGGTAACGCTTATCTATCTGTTCACTGCACATTTCCTTGTTAACCAGTCACACAACATTAAGAACCTCATACAACACTATGCACATACTGCTGAGCAGCCCACTGTCATAGAGTCATAACTTTTTAATGTTGTACCTAACTGTGTCCTTCATGTTCAAACAGCACATGGATGCATGCTTCTACTATATTCGCCATGTAGCAAAATTTGGGAAAGTAAAGTTAAGAGCTACAATGACGGACTCGTGGTTCCAGAACAAGATAAAAGATATATTTCCCGCTTTCCAAAAAGACCCTCAAGTTCTATTGTCGGAGAGCAGCATGATTAAGGCTGTCACAGGTCGCTTGATATCCCTAAGCACATCTTGGGCCAATGTAGACTATGTGTTCATACCATTCCTGCCCACGAACAAAGCTCACTGGATGCTAGGTCTAGTAGAATTTAGAAGCCATACTTTGATGATGTTCAATTCAGCTGGAAAAACGTATCGTGATTGGAATGTGCTGGAAGGTATTGAACCCTATGTGAAGGTATTGCCTGCTCTTATGAAAGCGTTGGGAATTTCCAAAAAAGACCCCGATTACAACGAATCTGAATGCAAGCAAATGAAGGTGACCATTGACAGTACCCTGCCTCAGCAGACGAATGGATAAGTATGTGACCAACTACAGCAGTATTACTTGTAAATTAATTAATTCATAACATACTATAATGTGTGCTTTTACAGTCATGACTGCGGGGTGTTCGTGATATTGTGTGCATTGTATATCCTCCGTGATGGCAGATGTGTTATTCCCTATAAGTTCGATGCTACAAAATGTAGAATTGATATCGCCTCACCACTCTACAAACACCGAGAACCTTACATGAAGAAGGCGAGGCAGGCTTTTAAAGGGGAGGGGATTGTAATAGAATGACAATTATGAAAACATTTGTAAATGAGTTTTATGCTTCAGTTGGTAGCATTTTATATTTCTTTCAAGCAATGGAGGTGTTTGTACTCAATACTGTCACGTGGATGTGAATATGCTTTTGCAATACATGGGTGCCCCAACCTTCATTTGTTAATATGTTGTTGCAATACATGGATACACAGTTGTGCTTTTGGTATATGATTTATGTTTTAATGCCGTGTGTAGATTAGTTCACATATCAACAGTACCAGGTCACAGATTTAAACTCCCATTTGGTGGGAGTTACTTTGGCATGACATATGTCGATAAAAGGTCACATGTGATATACATAGCAAGTCACGGATTTAGCACACATAATATATGATGCAAAGATCAGGTCACAGGTCGAACTGTACCTCGAACATTAGGTCACAGGACCATGTCACAGATTTAGTATTGCTTTTGGTCGGCGTTTCAGTTTGTCATTACATATGTTAATAACAAGTCACATAGTAAATAAAAGGTCACATACCTGGCCACTGATTTGGTTGTGATTTTGGTCACAGTTTTTGTTTGCCATGGCACATGTCAAGAACAGGTCACATATCAATTACAATAGCCTGCCAAGAGTTGATCACATTACATTTTATTTATGGAATCTGTGACCTGGACATATATTTGTTCTCCACCACGTTTAGGTCACATTTCATGCCTTTAAGTGAATTCATAGTCACAAATTAAATATATTGCTGTGTATGGAATCTATAATCACAAATTTACAAAACTCTATGTTTGACTGAATAAAAAGTGCTGATGTACTTCATTTATCATTTATTACCTTACTATTTAAAAATTATTTGTCAATTGATCAATTGAAACACGTCTACATGTTGGTATGCTAAAAAGAATTCAAGAATGCGACCTAACTTTGATAAGTCTTTATCATGTATTGACTTCCTATAAACCGTTCTTACTTAATGGGACCAAACTTGAGCACCTCCTGCGGTTGTGACCATGTGCACCACAACGTCCACATCTTACTTTTGGTTTTCCTTCCCTAGATGATCTCTTCCTCTTCTCAGTAGGTCTTCCAGAACTCCGCTTTTGGTTAGGAGCTAAAACAATTTGGAATTCTACTTCATCGGGTACTCTCCACTCGTCTGGATTTCCAACGCGATATACCGAACTTTCGTAAGCATTTACATATGCTTCCTTTGTGTAATAATAGGAATAGTAAGAATATGCATCCCTTTTCGTATGTGCGATTACAGCCAATGCATGTGGACAAGGCATCAAATCGACCTGCAGCATCCTGCAAGTGCATGTACGTTGCTCAATATCAACAACAAATGTGGACCTTTCATCGCTCACGGAGAACACTGTTTGGTTGGAAGGAGATACCTGTGAGAGTGTAATAGCACCAATGTTATGTGTTAGTTTAAACTCAAAAAAGAATAGGTCACAGACATTCATATCTCAGTGCACAATGGTATGTTCAGGTCACAGGACTTCATACTCAGGTCACAGGTTTAGCATTAGTAACAAATTATATATCACGACAAACAAAGTACATAGCGTCACATACGTAAATTAGTGGTCACATGAAATTAATATTTGGACACATAAGCACAAACGTACATTCCATGTCATAGACACCTATGATATAATCACATGCATATTTCTGTTTAGTCCACATACATGACCTTCAAGATACCTAAGAACCTTACCCTCAAGTTCCTTAATTCTGAACTCATTCTCCTCATGACGTTCTCGAACTTGCTAGTCAACATTGTGAAAGTTCCATGCGCTTCGTCTCTATGTTTACAGAACCAATTTTGTACTGTTTGTCGCAATGACTCCAGCAAGAATACAATGGGGTAATTCTTAGCTACCTTTGTGACCGCATTTACTGATTCTACAATGTTTGATGTCATTGTAGAGTATCTGTTTGCCGGCATATATATTCGTGACCACTTTTCAGGGCCTACTTCATCCTGCCAAAATATATCGTAGTATGAGAATAGTATAAAAGGATATATGTGACCACTTCACTGCATGTGATAATGCAGTGCTGTAGTCAGTACAGTACTAGGTAATTACGAATCTTATCATTCATTGCGTCTAGTTGTTGCATGTTGTATTCAAATTCTTCTAATGTGTAAGCCCGAACAGCCGAATTGAAAGCCTGCGTAATATTTTGCCCTGATTTCCCATAATATGATTTGAGATTCTGCAGCAAATGGTACGAGCAGATACTATGGCAACTTTCCGGGTACACCTATTCTATTACTTTCTTTATACTGCCATGACGGTCCGATACAAAACACAATCCTTCTCTGTGCCCATATGCATTCTTTAGTTTCTCCAAAAACCATCTCTACGATTTGTCGTTCTCATTATACCCTACTCCAAAGGCAAGAACAAATATGCCATTATTTGCATCCTGTGTACATGCTGTGAATATGGTACCTCCGTAATGACCATTCAAATAAATACCGTCAACGACAATTACGGGCCTACAATGTTGCCACCCCTGTATTGATGCACTGAGTGCCATAAAACAGTACTTGAACCTATTGTGACTATCAACCTCCAACTCTGTGACCGTACCAGGATTTCTTTGTCGAACCATGTAGAAGAAGCTTGGTATCCTACCGAATGATTCCGTCGGATCACCCCCAATCATCTTCAATGTTTGTTCACGGGACCTCCAAGCTTTTGAGTAATTCAAATATACTCCAAACGTATGTAGCATATCACTGCATATGTCCTTTGGTGTGTATATGGTGCCAGCCGATGTGTACTTGTACTTGATGCTAGATGACACAACTGCAGCCGATACTTGTCTATGTGACCCCAACACCACATTTGATGCACATGTGTGACTACCAATCTTTCGAATCTTAAATAGATTCGTTTTACCCCATTTTGATCGGCATATCCAAGTACATCCTTCATGAGAACACCTCACCACATATTCTTTCTTGTCGGATCGTTCAACCATAAACTCAAACATGTTTCGTATGGCAAAAAACGATAGGCTCAATTTTAAAATATCCTTATCACGGAAAATCCTGCCTTCTTCAACCTGAATAGCATCTGCTATAGAAACAATCGTGACTTCATTGTCACAAATGTGACCTAAATGTTTACTTGATGCTTCGCAAATTTCTGTGGCCACATCCTGCAACGTATAAAGCTCACTGTTACGATAAGCATTATCTGTGACCATGTCAGACGGGTACTGTATTGCTACATCAATTATGTCAATGATTAATGGGTATTTAGTTGGATCACGATCGACTTCTTTCAACAGAATGTATGCAAGCACGTTGCTGTCATTTTTTTATCCTGATTGCAGGCAAATCGTCGTTGAGTATATACTTCAATGATATTGCTACCTTTGTCGGATCCAAGCTGAACTCTGACATAATCATGTTTACAAGGTTTATATAACTGCATCCACGGTCTACCAACGTCAAAGCTGACTGAGATCCATGCAACAAACATACGTGCAAGTACACCATTTTTGCAAAATTGAACTTCAAAGCATTACATTCTCGATGGTTAATTTAATACTGTGCATACAGTTTTATATAAGAATTTATGCAATAACATGAAGTCACTATTGACACGGAAAAATGCAGGTCACATTTGGCGACACACAGGTCATATTTGTAACATGTCTTACAAATAATCAAAAACAAATTGAGGTCACATTTTTTTCACAGCAGTCACATTCAATCGACCACATTTGTTTTAGTGGTCACAGACATCCACAATCGATGCTACACTTGTCTACAACTGGTTACACTCAATTAAGTCACATCTCATGCATGTTGTTCATTTCCCACTGCACAATATTATTGAATTTGAGACATATGTGGCTACGATAGATATGGACGCTGGAAATTTGCGTATAGAAGAAATTCGGAACTAATCTAATGATGCTAATTACGAAAAAGGAAGGAGTGCAATAATCGGACCAATACCTGGATTGATTTTTGTTATGCGAAAACGTCAATTTCTCCAAGACGATCCCAAATCTGTGACACGAAAATATCAATGTCGATGAATTAGGGTTCTACAGTGTCCGGATTGAAAATACTCTGGATATTTTATTTTTTATGATGATTTTGTAGCGGTAGAGACGTTTTATTGATGGAAACTAGGCGGGATTAGACGAAAGATACGTAACAGAAATATATACACACACACACACACACACCTGATATTTGAATATATACTTTCTATACCTCAATTGCGAAATGGTGTCAAGTATACACCTTATATATGAATTTTCCCTTTTACAAGTTATGCATTGACTGCAAATCTGTTCCACATGAACTTTCATTTTAGGCCAATAAAAGTGTTCAGTTAATAGTTTTAAAGTCTTTGCTACCCCAAAGTGGCCCATTAGTCCCCCACTATATGCTTCTCTAACCAACAACTCACGCATATATCAATTAGGAACACATAATTTGTTTTCTCTAAACAAGTACCTCCATGCTTAAAGAACTTATCTACATCCCTCTTATGGCATGAATTGTAAATGTTGGAAAAATCAAGATCAATATCATACCTGCCCTTAATGTACTCAAAGCTAAGTAATTTCACAGTTAAAGTAGTTAGAAGCGCATACATTCGCGACAATGCATCTGCTACCACATTTTCCTTACCATGTTTGTAACGGATGACATATAAAAAAGTTTCTATGAATTCCATCCAGCGTGCATGTCATTTGTTCAACTTACCTTGATCCTGCAAATGCTTCAACGATTCATGGTCAGTGTGAATTATGAACTCCTTTAGCCATAGGTAACGCTGCCATGTCTCCAAGGCTCGAACAAGTGAATAGAGCTCCTTATCATATGTAAGATAGTTGAGAGCTGCACCACTTATCATTTCACTAAAGTAGCCTATCGGTCTCTTATCTTGTATTAAGACTGCTCCAATACCTATTCCCGTTGCATCATACTTAATCTCGAAAGTTTTGTCAAAGTTAGGAAGTGCTAAAACCGGTGCTTTATACAAACAATCTTTGATGGTGTTGAATGCATGATCTTGTTCTACTCCCCATTAAAACCCCACATTTTTCTTGGCAATTTCAGTTAATGGCGTGGTAATCGTGCTAAAGTTCCTAACAAAACACCTATAAAAACTAGCCAATCCATGAAAACTTCTAACTTCAGTTATGTTTTTAGGTGTTGGCAAATCCTTAATAACTTTTATTTTCTCTTCATCTACCTCTACACCATTAGCACTAACTACAAAGCCTAGAAATACAACTCTATCCATGCAAAATGTGCACTTTTTAAAATTGGATTAAAGTTGTTCTTTCCTCAAAACCATATGGAAACACCTCAAGTGTTCTACATCCTCGTCAAGATTCTTGCTATAAATTAAAATGTTATCAAAATAGACTACAACAAATTTTTCAATGAAAGCATGCAAAACATGGTTCATTAGTCGCATAAAAGTGCTTGGTGCATTTGTGAGCCCAAACGGCATGATTAACCATTCATAAAACCCGTATTTAGTTTTGAAAGTCGTATTCCATTCATTACCCGCCCTCATGCGAATTTGATGATGCCCACTCTTAAGATTAATTTTGCTAAATATGCATACACCATGCAGCTCATCTAACATGTCATCTAGCCTGGGAATTGGGTGGCGATATTTTACCGTAATGTTGTTGATGGCTTTTCAATTCACGCACATTCTCTAAGTTCCATCTTTCTTTGGCACTAGCGATACAGGTACGGCACATGGACTCATGCTTTCCTTTACATAACCTTTGCTCATCAATTCCTCCACTTGTCTATGTAAGTTCTTTGTCTTTTCTGGATTACTCTAATAAGCTGGTTGATTAGGAATGACAACCCCAGGTATGAAATCAATTTGGTGCTCAATTCCCCTAATGGGTGGTAACCCACTAGGTACGTCCTCTAGAAATACATATTCAAATTCCTGCAACAAAGAAATAGCCAAATTAGGAAAGGATGTGTTAGACTCTTCAAAGTTGATGAGTGATTCCTTGTAAACCAATAGTATCATTTGTTGTCTCTCCATTATTGCATTTTTTAATTCACTCCCTTTCGCTTAAAAATTTTGTTTCAGCATTTCTCTCCTCACGGAAGACTATTCTTTTCTCTCATGTAGCCCCACTCTCTTTTCCTCTCTATTGGCCACCTCACTATTTTCTCTCTTTTTCTCTAACTCTCTTACTTTTGATTATTTTTCATTTTTTAGTTGAATTTAGTCATCATATACTTGTACCGGTGTTGATGGCGCAAGAGTGACAGACCTCCTATCTTTCACAAAACTATACTTGTTCTTATACCCATCATGCATTGCCTTCCTATTGTATTGTCATGGTCTTCCTAACAAGGTATGTCCCGCATGCATATGTACAACGTCACAAATCACCTCATCTTGATATTTACCAATGGAAAAATTAATTAACACCCTTTGTGCCACCTTGACTTCCCCACATTCATTTAACCATTGTAATCTATAGGGCCGAGGATGCTTTAATAATGTTAAACCCAATTTTTCCACCATATTAGTGCTAGCCACGTTAGTTCAACTTCCACCATCAATTATTATACTACATACCTTGCCATTGACGTGACACCACATGTGGAATATGTTTTCTTACTACTGCTCCAAGTCATCCGCCTTGATTTGAGCGCTGAGAGCTCCCCTCGCGACCAACAACTTACCACCAACCGCATACTCCGTGGTGTCTTCTTCATCAGCATCCTCCAATTCTGGCATGTTTACATAATCACCTTCACTTTTAGTTTCCACTTCCCTCATGTCCTGCAGAATCATTGTTTTCTTGTTTGGGCATTGAGAAGCAATGTGCCCCGTTCCTAAGCAACAACAAATTTTGATATCCCTATTTTTTGATGACTGTGACTCCCCCTTTGGTATGGCCTTGCTAGCACTATCTTCCTTACCTCTTGGTATCTCAGCTCTTCCTCTTGCAACAGTTCCATTTTCTTTGTTATTTTCCCACTTTAGTTTTCAAGAAGGATTAGAACCCGAAGATCTAGATTGGTACCTTGCTGTCCCTTTTCGCTTCAACTGCCTCTCTACCTTCATGGCCACATGTAGCATATCTTCAATTTCCACATAGTGCTGTAATTCCACTACATTTGCGATGTCCCTGTTCAACCCACTCAAAAATCGAGCCATAGTGGCTTCCCTATCCTCCTCCACATTTGCACTAATCATTAGCATTTCCATCTCCTTATGGTAATCTTCCACACTCCTAGAGCCTTAATATAAATTTTGCAATTTTTGATGAAGCTCCCGGTAGTAGTGATTAGGTACAAATCTCTTCCGCATTATAGTTTTCAATTTCTCCTATTTGTTGATAGGGCATTCCCCACTTCTCTGCCTCGTAGTCACCACTTGATCCCACCAAGTAATGGCATAATCGTTGAACTCGAGGACTACAATTTTCACCTTTATCTCCCCTGAGTAATTGTGACAATTGAAGATCAATTCAATTTTCTTCTCCTACACCAAATATGCCTCCGGATCACTCCTCCCTTTGAATGAAGGAATGGTCATTTTAATGTTCCCCAAATTTCCATCCACCTCGTCTCCATTAAAATTTTTACCTCTCCTTTATTGCCTAACTCCTATATTTCTTCCCCTTCCAATCTTCACATCCACAATCGCATCTTCATCTATCCCACTATCAACTTCAAGATCACTATGTTTCTCCATCCTGAGTTCCTATCTACCTTGTCTCTATACATTAGGACCTCCCCTTTGTACATTAACAAAAATTGAATTCAGCCTTTCCAATTGTGCATCCTACCTATCCAATCGATCCCTCACGTCTCCTAATATCCTCTCAATCCTCCATACCGAGTCCTCCAATATAGTAAATTGATCATCAATCCTTCCTAGATTTGATCATTCCCTGTCCGACATTCTAAATCTAATTTTTTTTTACCTCACAAATTTCACTCCGAATTCACTCAATATGGCTTTTTCCCTCGATTGTTCTCACTACTCTACCTTTTACCACTCGTTGCTTTCACCAAGTACCCAAAAGAACAATTTAGAACTCAATCAAAATTTTAATCAGTGGAATCCAAACCGATGTAAGCGAGATTATAAGTCCAATGAATTTAGAATAACTTGGTTAACAATCTGGACTAGACAAAACAAAGAAACTGACTCAAGAACACAAAATAGAAGAAAAAATTGGCTAAAGAATTAAACGACACAAATAATAAAAAGGGCCTAATGAAGCTGATAAATTCTCAAGATCAATAACAATAATAACAATTTTTTTTAAATTCGGATTTTTTTGGAATTTTTTTATGCTGTACGGATGAACAGTATCGTACGATGAACAGTAATTTTTTTTTACTCTTGAGATAGAAAAATCAACAACAACGCTAACGCAACAAACGGAAGTCAATTTTGATGCAAATTGAATCCAAAAACAACTTTTGAATTTTTTTTAGATCGACGACTCAAAACTAATGACTGACTCGAAGAACATCAAGAACAAAAACAAATGAAAAGAAAAGATAACTGACTCAACAAGAAGTTAAAAGGAATATAACGTTGGATTGGAGCCTAAGCTCTAATACCAACTTATGTGAACCCGTGTAGGCAAATGCTACCAATCCCACAGTCAAGATTGAAAATCGACCCAAGAAAGCCAAAGCAAGATTTTGGATTAAACTCAATAAATTTGGAACCAAGCAACCCGAATCGTCGACGATGTGCGGACCTCTTGATTACGCAAAAATATGTGAATCTCACCCAATTGATTTGAACGCTACAACATTTAAATATCGATAAGTTCGTAAATTGTCCAATTGAAGAACACGGGAAGAAAGCAATAAAAGCCTCTCAATAATAATAATACTAAAAGTTTCAATATAATGAATAATAATGAGTATTTATACTAAAACCCTAGGATATGGTAAAAACATGCATAATCTCCAAAATATGCTAAAATTATGGAAAGAAATAAATTCTATCAAAAATGGGAAAATTCACAAAAATTGAAAAAACTTCTCCCCGAAATAGAGTCATGCAGTCGCATGGTTCAATTCCATGCGGCTGCATGAAACAACCAAGTTCAGTCGATTGACTCCATGTCCCTATCTGTGCGACCGCAAGATGTGGAGAACTATACGGTCGCATGGTTCTACACTTCAACTCCGTTTTCGTCTACTTTTAACGCATTGATCCAAGTTTCTTCAGCCTTCGATCCTAACATGAAACTTGCTCCGATCCTAACATGAAACTTGATCCATTTGAATCCCAAACATGGTTTCATCAACTGTTTCTTTGACGAGAAATCTCAACGCCCCTTTCACTCGCTTCGCCCTCGATCACGTCATCGGTCCACTGTCGACTATCAATAGATCTTTCCCTGAACTTGACTTCAACGCTTGCGTGTCCTGGATCACATCAGATATGGAGTTGAATTATTTAAATAGGCTCGATGAGAACTAGAGATGGGTAAATTGAATACCATAAAAGAATTCGACCGAACATTACTTTAGTTTCATGAATCTCAATATTAGAAGTAAAAGTGACCAATAGGTGAAGTTGTTCCGCCCTAACATCTATTTATTGTTTGAATTCTAAATCACTTTTTGTTGTATCCATTCAAATTTTCAGTAGTTAGATTTAAAAATCACATTCAATTTATTTTTTTTGTTTATTTTCATCAAATAGAAGTTAGGATTAATAAATTGAGTACTAAAGTATAGTTCTCGTGGGAACGATAATCTGGACTCAAAATGTCCACTTTACTACTTGTTACGATCTGTCCACTTGTAGGATAAAATTGACAACAAGCTTTTGGCGCCGTTGCCAGGGACTATTACTTTTAGTCTTAATTTATTTTTATTTTTTTAACTGTTATTTGATTTGTTTATTTTCTTTTATTTACAAAAAACTGTGTTCATTGTATGCTCTGCGCCCAAGGCGACGATATTGAACCGTTTGATTCGGAGATAAATACCTTCAGACAAAGACGCAAAGAACATAAACAAAAACAGCAACATTAAATGACTGACAGTCAACAAATCCATATACCTATTTGGCCGATTGGACAAATGGCTGCAAGAGTGGTGGCACCACCGAAACAGTAGCATGAAAGAGAGGAAATAAATGAAGAAGATTTGCCACTATCACTGTTCCTAACACCTATAGCAACACCCACACGCTCCAGTATCATGTATCCAAACTTTAGGATGAACAACTTTCAGATTAGGCCAGATTGGATTAACTTGATTAGCAACACTCTGCAATTCTACGGGTTGCCTCATGAAAACCCAAACATACATATCTCCAGATTTCTCAGATATTGTCAGAATTTTCATGCTCCCGGAGATGCTATTAAACTACGATTATTTCTATTCACATTGAGAGATGCGACATTGGAATGGTTAGATGCAGAGCCTCATGGAAGCATTACTACATGGGATCCCACCGACCAGAGTAACTAAAATCAGATTGAAAATTCAAACTTTTCAACAAAAAGAGGGAGAAAGCTATCACGAGGCATGGAATAGATTTAATGAGTTGATGAGAAAATATCCAAACCATGGAATCACTCTAGGAAACCAAGTGCAGTACTTCTATATCGAACTTACACCACTGTCAAAATCTCAAGTGGATGTCTCTGCTAGTGGATCAATCATAGGAAAATCAGTGCAGTAGACCATGGACCTGTTTGACTTAATTGCCAACAAACATTCAATATTCTCATCAAAAAGAGTGGTACCATCAAACGCAGCTGGAATGTATGAAGTAAACATCACAACATCTATCAATGCACAGATAATAGCTTTAACAAAACAGGTAGAGTTACTTGTAAAATTGCAAATACAAGGAGCAAATGCAATGATGGCCAATTCAGTATGTGAGAATTGTACAAGAAATCACGCTATAAAGAGTTGTATGATGCTTACTTCTTCAGAGGAACAAGTAAACTTTATTCAAAATTGTTCCTGTAATTTCAACACATACGAAAATAACTTCCAGCCAGAGAAAAGATCAAGTTTGGGAGAGATGTTCCATTAATATGTATAGAAAACAGACAAAGTATTCCAACAAATTGATACTAATTTTCAAAATCAGTAAGCATCTATCAAGAAGTTGGAAACAAAAATAGGTCAGATAGCACAACAACTTGCGGAACGTCCACAAGGATCATTGACAGGTAATACAATGATAAATCCTAAAGAATATGTAATGGCAATTGAAGTAGTAGAGAACAATCCACCCAGGACCTCAATGAAAGTTAAAGCATATGTACCTCCACTTCCGTTTTCCCAAAGACTACGAAAGAAGTCAATGGAGCAAAATATTCATGTCATAAATACGAAAAGAGAGGTACAATCGCCAGAGACCACTACAGAGAGACCCAAAAGAAAAGATGATTAGGAAGTGATTGATGAAGCTACAAGGGTAGAAAAATCTGCACCAAACGCAACTGAAAATGGAGAAAGTACAGAAACATCAACTGCCAAAGCACCAAGTCCAGGCAAAGCTTACATGCCTCGCATTTTCTTTCCTCAAGGGATTAAGAAGAACAAACAAGACACAAATTATAAAAAATTCCTCGATGTTCTTGAGAAGCTCCAGATCAATGTCCATTCATTGATGTGATACTACAAATTCCAAGCTCCATGAAATTTTTGAAAGAGATGTTGACAAATAAAAGAAAGCTTCCAGAGTTTGAAATTGTGGTATTAACTGAGGAAAGTAGTGTAAGAGTCCAGAGCAAATTGCCTCCCAAATTAAAGGATCCAGGGGGTTTTACTTTACCAATTTCAATTGGAAATTCCTGTTCAATTAATGCATTTTGTGACACAGGTGCTAGTATCAACCTAATGTCGTATTCTGTTTACAGGAAATTGGGACTAGGTAAAGTCAACTGAACATCAATAACGCTACAACTAGCTGATAGAACAATCGCAAGGTCATGTGGCAAAGTTGAGGATGTACTCGTAAAAGCAGGAAATTTCATATTTTCTGTGGACTTCATAGTGTTGGACATACCAGAAGATCGAGACATTCAAGTTATAGTGGGTCAGTCATTCTTAGTAACGGGATGAACCTTGATTGATATGGAGAATGATGAGATAATATTGAGAGTGGAGGACAAGCGACAGATATTCAATATCTACACTCAATATGAGCAAACCCCCAACATCAAAAGTTGCTATAGAGTAGGTGAAGAAGGGCCACCTGGTCAACGAGGTTGTCAAAAAAGAAAATCAAATTTTGGTGGACTTCTTGGTCAGGATAAAAATGGAAATGCCAAAATATGGAAAGCCAAAAAAATTCTAGACGAGTTTGAACGAATTGAAAGCTTTTAATTCTTGCATAATCTTTTTCCAGTCGATCTGTTTGGAAAATTTATTGACCGACTAACATCGAATGTAATAGGGAAATTGTAGAAGAATGTGAAAAGAAATGAAAGGGAAAGAGAGAAGAAAGGGGAAAAAGAGAGAAGAAGAGGGAAAGAGGAGAAGATTGAAATTAGAAAGAGAAATCAATTTATTTCATATAATCAAGTTGTTCCATTACATATCCATAATCCCCTTTATCTAGGGTTTCAAAAATCATAACTAAGTAAATAAATGCTATAAAAGTTAATTAAGTCACATTCTAATCATGTTTTCTAAAATACTGACCAAAATAGGAAACTAAATAAATAATTTATTTCTATAATATTGCATCATTTCTTCCCGACTGAGAGAACTCAACTCCGACTAGGTAGACTGGAACTTCATACTCCAAGAAGGCCTATCTTTTGTCTTAACCAAGTTCCTATATTGAATATTGGACAACGTCAATCAACTAAACTCAAACCAAGGAGGGCGATCCTTCTTATGAACCAAATAACGAAACCGATCATGTGAAAATTGAAGCTGCAATTTATCCCCAAGAATATAATCTAACCAAGGAGGATGATCTCTCATTTTAACCCAGTATCGCCATGGAATTCTAAAAAGCAAAAACCTATGCAACTCATTCTCAAAATCATCAATTTTTTGTGCATAATGAGAAGCACAAAGAACCACTACAAACTGGTCTGTAAAAAAAAATGTTTGCAACATCGAAGGCTCGAATGGGACCCTATAAGGAAACAATTCTTCTATATTGAAGATATCACTCTTATCTAAGTGTGATAGCTAGTCAAATAGACAATCTTTATATGGTTCCAAAACTTTTATTTGAACATGTTTAGGAAATTGAGACAAGGAAACATGTAATAAAGAATAATAATCATTAAGGTCTTCTCTACATTGCACATCAAAAGTAAATTCAACAATTTCATTTTTAGAAATGATTTACATTTTTATCTTAGTATAAAATTTAGGAACATTGAAAACAAAAGGACAAGCTAAACCAATATGTCGATAATTAGTAGGCAACATCCTAATGCCTATAGGAAAAATATGCAATCGAATAATGGCCTTGGAAACCTGGGGAGTATCATGCAAAAGAGGTAAAATCACAACCAAATTAACCTTAAGAGCAAACTCGAGAGTATATAAAATGTTTAACTGAGGTGACAATACTATAGGTAAGTCATCAATTGTGTTATGATCAATTATGTCCAAGATTGGTGTGAGATGTGGTATGAGACAAGCCTCAAAACTCTCATCCTCACTATCAGAAAAGTGAATAATTTCAACAATAAAAACCTCATTTTCTTCTTCAGGAGGAGGACTAACACAATTAGACTTAAAATGTGACTGAAGTGGTGTGTCCAAGTTTGCACATAATTGTTTAAGTCGAAATGATATGTACCAATGGTTGGCCAAATGGTAAACCTCATCAAAGGAATGGGGTCCAAGAATGTCGTGAGGCAAAATTTCTGGATTCAAACCATCGATAAACCTAGACGCTGTGATGTGGTGAGCCTCATAAATATAACAATTGTGCAATAATTCTAAGTTGGCTAGATATTCAATAACAGTGGACTTACCTTGCTTACAGTGTAAGAAGACTTGATTTACCAATTAAGTTCGATAATACATGGGGGCATATTTATTGCTTATAATTTGTTTCATCTCATCCCACAAAGTGATTGATATTCGACGTCACCCCCTCACCATCTACAGATCCATGGAGGTGGCTCCTGTGTTGGGATCGATAGTTGAAGAAGACTGTGTGATTTTGATTTTTGAGATAGTTTGGAGTGGAGGTGAAGGATGGAAAGTGGGAAGGGTAAAGAAGAGAGATTTTTATATTTTTCATTTATTTATTTTTTAATCTTTTGATTTAAGTTTTTTAATTGTTTAATGCGATAAATAGAAAATTACCATTTTGCTCTTCTAAAATTGATTAAAATGTGGTCAAACTTAATTTTGATGACCAACTGAGGGGATTTTGGGTCTTATCATTAATTTTGTTAACTTATAAATTTTACAGTTTTCACTTTTCAAATCGAATCATTTTTAAATTTTTTAATTAAAATATCAATTTTATTAATTTATAATTTTGCAGTTTTCACTTTTCAAAAAAAAATACTAATTTAGCAATACATATTACAGCATATTCATTGAAATAACCATAAAAAGTAAATTAGATTCATCATTATTGGCTCATGGTTTAACAAGTTCACAACACATGTTCTTACTCGATATCTAAACTAAACTAAACTAAACTAAAATTATTCCTAAATCATATGAAATGAAAAAAACATATATTTTCGACAATCCAAATCATAATTCAATAAAATTACGGCAGCAAATCATGTCCAAAGTTTCAAAAGCCTTAGACATAAACTCTGATTTTTCAAACATTTGATGCTTATCTGCCACTGCTAAACGAATTATTTGTCATCTTTTGCCTGTTAGTCTGCTAATTTATATTTGAATCGTCTATTTCTCTCTTCTCTCTCGACAAGTCTCTGATTCTCATTCAAGTCATTTTCCCATTATTCTTTGTTTTATTTGTTGTTTTTGAACTTATTATACGCTTGTAAGTTGTGATTTGGATAGAAAAATGAGTATTAGTGTGTCTAAATGATTAATGAACTTGTTTGTGGTTTGAAAAGAACGAAGGACAGGACGTATTGATTGTATGAAAATGTTAAAGTTCCATAACTATTACTACTACCTTCTACTTTCATAAAGTAGTTAGGAAATGAAATTCGTCAATCCCCAATAAGCATAAACTCTATCAATCTTTGTACAATTGAACGTATCATGTTCAATATTTATTTAACATTCCACTAACAAAATGAAATGAGTTTTAACCAAATTATAATAGAAAAATGTGACTTTACATTTACCAACCGCTATGTGATAATATAAAAGTCAAACAAGAAAATGTAAATAAAAATGAAGGAATGATATATTTATTCTATTAACATTTTTAGCAACAAATTTGAAAATAATTTATTCATAGGTATCATGGTAAATATGAATATAATTTAACATTTAATATTATTAATTCTCCTTTAAACTTATGTTAACTTGTTTTAAATATATTATAATAATTTTGATAGATAAACCATGGATTAAAATCAAACTAGACTGCAAATTATGGTTTGGTTTGATTTGGTTGGAAAAATAAAATGGTTTGGTTTGATTTGAAAAAATTTCAAATTGCCATTTCATCAAATATGATTCAAATTTGGTATTGGGCTTGGAGTAGCTATGTCTATGAAAACCAGTAGCTAGTGTGACCGTTGGAGATTTAGTAAGTCTTTCCTTTTATCAGATAGGGCTAACTCGTAGCAAGTGCAATTGATGGTTCTTAACCAAGCCCGATTGTTGAAATGTTTAAATCTATCTCCTCCTCGCTATGCTCTAGGATAGGGCCTTTCTTCGCATCGAGAATTTAGAATGACTTAATTGTAGTTCTTCAACGCTTCTATCAATCAATCTAGCTCCTTATTCGGGGGGAGAGTGAAAGCTTTTCTTTTAAGCCTAGTAGTACGGTTAAAGTCTAATCTGTATGAGTGCTAGTTATTTCAAGCTCTAAAACGCTAGTAGTGTAGTAAAGGTTCATTCCACCCTTAGAAAAGCAGTTGAAAGTAGTCTGTCTGTCTCAGCCTCGCATCGTCTTAAATGATTTAAAGCCATCGAAGGGAGGTGGGAATAGTCCCAAGCCCTTGCTATAGTATCGTCATTAATTGTTGATGGCGAGTTGGGGCCGCAAGGATCAATTGCCATGGCTGAGTTAATGGTTGAGGAAAGAATTAGAACAGTGGAATCATTAGAGAGTGCCAGGCCGTCCATCCTCAATGAATTGAATTTTAGATTTGAGCACCTTCGTTGTAACCTCTTTCCGACGCTAAGTGCAAAAGGCACTCAAAGGAGTAGTTGGACCAACCATCACTACCACAGGACTATAGTGGTAAATCATGCCACCTCAGACTCCTATTTTCCCTCACATGTCAACAAACAAGTTGGATGCTCTCTTTAGGACTCTGTTGCAGGTCTTGACGTTGGCTGATTAAAAAAGGCATCATCGTCACAACAAAACCCGTCTTTCTTAATTTAGTAAAAAACGGGACACGGGTCCGATAAGTCTTTCTACTATACTGGCACAAACCCCCCAAATTGAATCGCGTTCATCCCTAGTTCTGTGGTGCATTTGATGTACTTTCAATAGCCACCAAGACTTCGATTTGAAAAACATGATTGAATATGCGAACCTAATAAAGGGCTAGATGCCTGCACTAAACTTTGAGCCAGTCTCATGTAAAAATATAAATGTAAAACCCACTTAAAATATATATTTAAAAAATATGAAATGGGCCAAATATTATTCTACGGACTACAAATCCTCCCCATCTTTACCGACTACAAACACCACCCAAACCTGAAACTCGCGATTTCCACCAAAACACCCAAACTCATGAAATTGAAGCATTGAAGCAGTGAAGCAGTCAATCATGGATGTCAATTGAAGCGGGTAAAACTAGAAGAAGTAATGCATGTAATTTACTATAAATTTCATGGCTTTAAAAAAGATGCATGCTTTAATGATTACATTGGAATTTCTCTAAATTTTGCTCAATTTGAAATTTCTTAATGAGGTAACTATGGTCTAGCTTTGCTTGGTTGGTTATAAGCTTTTAGGTTCTTGT